TCCTCCTCCTCCTCCTCCTCCTCCTCCTCCTCCTCCTCCTGTTTCTCCTTCTTATTCTACTCTGTTACTGTTACTTTCTTAATGTGGAGAGGAGATTGCAACTCTCATTGCATTCTTTGGATGTCAGATGCAAACTGTAATAGGTGTTCAGGCCACAAATGTGATCCATTGGAAAAAATTATGACTGGACTTTCTAATATATTTTTCTTAGAAAAAGTCAGAGTGCTGGTTACTCTCCTTAAACAGGTTCTTTTAAAAATGTTTTTGCAAAAAGAATATGTCTAAAATGTATTTTGGTACAGCAAACTGTTGTAAAATACAACTATTGGAAAGTGAGTTAAATTTATTTAAATAAATATTGAATAAAATTTAATTGAAATTGTGTTCACTCCTTGAATCAATATTTAACTTAAGTTCATTAAAAATGTCTCATTTGTTATCCAAGCCTTCAAACCAACCCAGGAGGAAGAAGGAACAATAAGATCATAATCAACAGGACTTGAACATCCAGACTATACAGGGATTGAGAAACATCTATGGTTTACCCATAACTTGTTTCCATTCCACCATTTTCAATTTAAATTGCTTTTCGGCCATTCTCTTTGCAAAACTCTGTTCCAGAAGTGAGTAGGGAAAAAAATGAAACTGAAATAAATTGTATTGATACTTGCTACTTTAACCAGCTCCAGAGATTGGGGTTGGTTATGAACTCTAAGTGAATTAAGGATGAAGGGAATCTTTAATCTCAGATAATTCCTTAAGACATAAACCCAAGAATCCATTTCATTCTTGGAAAAATAGGCTGTGTCAAAATATAGAACATTCAGTTAAATTTGAATCAGATAAGTAACAAATGTAATTTCAGTATAAGCATATCCCATGTGATATTTGGGACATGCTTAAACTTAAAAAATTTATTTGTTGTTTATCTGGAACACAAATGTAACTGGGTGTTCTGTATTTTATTTGGAAACCCTAGGTAGGCAGGAAGATGCTTGTTAAATCTAACTTCAAAACAGAAAAACTCTGGAAGCTTAATGAGTGGGATTAGAAACATGACTGAACCAGAAAACTCTTCAGAATATCACATAAACTGAGTGACCGCCAGTCTCTTTGGCACTGGTTTGTGGGCAAATGTGTACTGTTTGCACTTCCCAGTTATTAGCATCTTTGCAGGTTCTTCTCCTAGCCTGCGATTTACTTAGCTTCTTTTGTGGAATGACACTACCTCCTGGGTGACTATGGGTGACTATGTGTGGGTGACACATAAAAATTTCAGTGTGGAAAGCAGTGAATGAACAGAAATTGGTATAAGTCAAGTGTCTTAGATGAGACTTTATGTATGCTCTGCCCTGACCTATCTTTATTAATTTTGAGGGATTTAGGGACAGGGAGAGATGGTGGGCACATGTGGACCTCTTGATACTGCTGTTTCATGAAACACTTCATTGTGCTGCCGCTTATCCCAATACAGCATATTCTCCAATATCCAGATTTCTCACATAAAAAAAAGCAGTATTTTGGTGCCAAAAAAGGAGTTCTTGAGCTCCCAGCATCAGTGAAGAAAGGCAAGAAGAGCAGGGAAGCTGCTATAGCTAACATGGTAGGAATTCTGATTGATGGTAAGGTCCCTAAAGGGGAGGAGGCACCCTGGTCTCTAAAGCAGTTTTGCAAGAACTGCAAGAAGACCTCTGTCTCTGGACTGGGGGCCACTTTTGCTTTGTCAGTGTTCCTAGGTGCTCAGGTAGTTCCCTTTTTTTTTCTGTGAAGCAGCCACCGCCAGCCTCTTTTCCCAGCAAGCCAGACTTGGGGAATGAGTGGGGTCTACTCTCCCTTCCTTCCCCTCCTCACTCACCTGAAAACAAGCACACAAGCTCTTGCTCTTTTCAACCTTTGATGCTTATTTCTACAAGGAAACAGAAGGGTAACAAAAGATAGCCAGTGGGGGATATATAGAATTTGGAATTTTACTGGTCCCTATTTCCTGACTTCCCTGCTGAGTCTCTCTGAACCTTCATGTGCTTCCCGGACCAGGATTTAGCTGCTTTCAGAAATTAGAAGATCAGAGGAGGTAGCAGTCAGCATTGACAACGGGAAGAAAGGATGGAGACCGAGAACAGGAGCCTTTGGCCTTTGATAAATAAACCCACACAGATGAAGAGGGGAGAGGCAATTCCCATTTATTAAGTGCCTGCCATGTGTGGGATCTTGTGACTGCCTCAGAGGACAGTCTTTGCTGTCAGGGAATTTGCAGTCTGATGCAGAGATATATACTCAACAAAGCAATTAGTATATAGTATGATATTTACTTTAATGGGGGTATGGACACAATGCCCTAGAGCATTGGAGAAGGAGAACTGGAGTCCGCCTGGACTTGGGAGAGGTCATCCAGAATAGAGAAAACATTTAAACTGAAGCTTAACAGATGAACTGAGGTTGGCCAAGTGACTAAGAGAGAACAAGGTGTTCTAGGTAGAGGAACTAGCACATGCAAAAGCACAGAGAGGTTAGGTGTGTTCACGGGTCAGTGGGAAGCATTGCTGGAGGGCAGGGGGAGTGCAAAGAATGGTGGAAGAGGAGGGCACAGGCCCAGTCTTGCAAGACCTTAGATGTTGCAAAGGAGCTTAAGTTAGATACTGTGTAGGTAAGGGACAGCTATTGAAGAGTTTTCAGGGTGGCAGCTAATGTTGTCATATTTGATCTTTGCATTAATCTTTTGAGGTAAGCAATTGTGTCTTGAATTTAGGTGGAAAATTGGAGAGGTAAAATAAGGGCCTAAACTTCAGAGTGTAGTAAATGGTAAAGTGAAGACTCAATTCCATTTGTGTTCTACTGCAGAGTCCAGTAGAACTATGGTCTGGAGAGGAGGAATGTGGGAAGAAGCAATTTTCAAGCATCTGTGTCCTGCTAAGCGCATATCTACTAACACACAGGTTAGTGTTGGGTCTGGATGTCACTGCCTCTAGGAAGACAAGTGAAGTCATGGACCAAGCATCTGGTCCATGCTGTCAGCATCCAAGACTGTAGCTTGACAACTTACAGTTATGATAGTGAGGTCAACTG